GAGGAGAGGAGAGGAGAGGAGAGGAGATCTGTGCCGCGCCTTCGAATACATTTGAGTCGCACTTCTGTCCCCTGGGGATGAGTGTACTTGAATTAGCTTGTGGATGAGAGTCTGGGTTCTCCTCAACCTGATACACCCTCCTTCCTCTTCCTCTCATCCTACTCTGGAAGTGTTGCAAAGGGATCCTATGCAAAGAGGGAGAGAGGGCGTTTGAAGGCGGTGGTTTGCGTTACCTACACTCCTTTACAGCAACTATTTTCAAATGCCTTGAATCTAAGTATGTGAGCCACAATGCCTCGAGCAAGAGAAGATGCCCACACGGGTCCCCAGCACGTCGCTCTGGGCTGGAGAGCGCAATGTGCGTGCCCACAGGGGCAGAAGCCCCTTCCACACAGTCTGTGGCCTCCAGCCTTAGAAGGAAGCCCTGTACTGCCCTTGGCTCCGGAGGGCGACTGCTCATCTCCTGGGCTGACAGAGGCATTTGCAGCTCAGAGTCAAATAAACAAGAAAGAACTCTTTTTAAACCAAGAAAATCAACACCTAGAGTTACATAGTCCTTAGTCAATACCACCGCCATCATAAATTTTTGTAAGAGTCCATAAAGAAAGAAAAACGCACGCGCACACACACAGACACACACACACACACACACACACACACACACACACACACACAAAACATCTGGGCGAAATGCAAACCCCAAACAGCCTGGGCTGGCGTGCAAAGCAGCAGTTTTACTTTTCCTTTTCTGGCCGGGGGTGGTGTTGTCCTGGGGGCTTCCCTGGCCGTTCCAGGCCGCGGGGCTGGCCAGGGAATTCTTGGACATGGTGCGGCTCGGCTGAGTGCCTGGACGGTCGCAAGGGGGGAATTCTCAGAGCTCCCAGGCTCTGTCCTTGCGGCTGCCACCCGCCCACTCGCGTCTCTGAGCCTGGTTGGACGAGACTCCCTACGCCGCGCGTGTTGAGTGGGGATGTAGGTGAAAGGCTGGCCCAGGTGCAAGGTCAGCTGTCCACAAGTTCGAGATAGGGGCTCAGTGGTACCAGGGCTGCAAGCCTAACTGGGCTGTGTGTGACGCTGCTTTGCGCATGTCTGGTTATCTATCCATCGCCAGCACGTGCTCACTCACTGGGGGCTTGTCGGACAATCGGGTTGTGAGGATTTGAAGGAGAAAAAGCCCATGCACTGTGTAGGCTCTTTGTGCGAGCTGCCCAGCTGGTCTTCTAGTGGGCCGTGTGTGTTCGGAGAATGTGCAGAGGTGGCGATTCCCATTTGTCTTCATTTTCTCCCTCCAGTCCTCTATGTTGCTTCCGCTGGCTTTTGCTGGAGGCACCCTGTGCGTGGGGAGAGGTGCAGGAAGGGGGGCGCCCTGCAAGTTCTTGTCATTCTAAAGGCTAGTTTGGAGACTATCAACGCCTGTTGGCGGGAAGGCAAATTTGCAGACGCCTGATCAAATAGAGAAGAGGGGTTTACATTGGGAAAATGTCCTCAGATTCCACTATTGTGGGCAGTTAATTCCAGGGACTCTGCTCCTTTGTTCCCTCTGCAGCTCCCCGGCCCTCCTCCCGCCAACCCTCCGTAGTTCGACCTGGCAGTGGTAACCCCTGGGCTTCCTGAGGCCAAAAGGGCGCAGGGCCTGCGCTGAGCAGAGACATATGTAATCAGAACCTCTTCTGTAGCGCTTCTCTGAGTCTTGGTGTGAGTGCCCAAAACTTCCTCCCGTGCGCCTTTGTGCACTTTGGCAACCCTGAGTGCCAGACTCCCTGCTCAGGGACAACGGGTGGGGTCCCGGGGTGGGTGTGGAGCTGTAAAAAGAGGCAACGGTGCTGGCAGAATGTCAGACCCCCCGTTTTGCTTCCACAGCAGTGTGTGTAGGGGTGTTTTGGGATTTCAAACCTACTCCTTTTTGTCCCTTTGACCCCGCGGGATTTTAAGGGCAGAGCTTTCAGTCCGAGGCTTCCGCCCGGGGCCAGGTTTTCCTCTGGTCCGGGTGAGAAATTTCCACGGTAGATGGAACTTGTTTCTGAGTGGCTTCCTGTTCTGAGGACCCCTGGCTTTCATAGCTTTCCTCTCCCTCTCCCTTGGCTCAAATTAAGCTTCCCAGTTCCGTCCCGAAGCGCCAGGGGAGCGAGACAGGACTGGGAAAGCCATCCCATCCCTGGGTCCCGCGCGGGCGGCTGTCCGGGTTTCCGATCGCCGCTCGCCGATTGAAAAAGACAGAAGGCGCGCCGCGTGCACAGACAGTTAGTTAATGGAAACCCTGTAAATCGGTTTTAAGTGCACCCAGGACGGAGGGGGAGGAAGGTGGAGGTGGTGGTGACGGGGGGTGTGAATAGGCTGGAGTGGGGGTAATGGGTTAAGCGTCCTCGCAGTTCTGAACAAAAGAGTCGCTTCCTTCCCCTATTGTTCCTAATTTAGAAAAATCTATTAAAGAAATCACACGGACAGGGAAACCCGAGCTCCCCAGCCCGCCCCAAGCGGAGGAGTACGCGGCTTCCCTTGGCAGGGAACCCGGCTGCGGCTGTCCCCCTCTCCGCGCCCTCCCTGCTCCCCGCCCCCCGGCGGGGCGCTGCTACTACGGCGATCGCCACCTCACGCCGAAGGAATGCTCGAAGTATGCACACGTTCCCAAAAGTAGACCTCCTTCGCCGCCGGAGGAGCATACATCACCCCGTGGCAGCAGTCCACCTTCTCAGGCGTTTCGTAACCGAGTAAACTGAGAGCTGGGAACAGCCCTCTATTAAGCAGCCCGCGGCGCGGAGTCTTCCCCACTTGGCGAGGGCGAGCCGCCGAGTGGCGTCCGCACGCCGGCCTCTGCGGTCCCAGGCGGTGTCCGCTCGTCCAGCCGCGCCGGCGGCTCCTCCCGGGACCCTCCTCCTCCTCCTCCTTCTCCTCCTCCTCCGCCCAGACCTCCCCGCCGGTGCCCACGCCTCGGCGGCCGCCAGGTGCTCCTGCAGAGCAGCGTCTACCCCCCCGGGCGTGCTGGGGTCACGCGGAGCGCCAGCTTCTCCGACGCCGGGGAGTCGCTGTCGCCGCCGCTACCTCTGTCACTGCCGCCTCAGGTCAGTCTGGTTTCTGTCCCCTTTCCCTCATTCCATCACTCCCAAAGATAACTAGGGAAACTTGTTTCTAGCTTGCACCTTCCCGGGAGTCGTGAAGAATCTGGGGCGAGGACGTTTGGACTTGTAATAGTATAGATGTGCCAGAGAAATCCCTGGTATACTGAGATTTTGTAATTCTTTTGGGGTTTCGAAGGTGGAAGGAATTGCTTTTCTTAAAAGCTGATGCAGGGCGGCAGTGCGCGCGCAAAGGATCCTGTTCAATATTTCCATTTGTGAAGGAATTTCCTCTATAGATGCTGTCGATTTCACTGAAGGGCGCGCCCGGTTCTGGGGCCACCGTTTTTCCTTATCTCGGGCTGCTGCTTTGCCCGGGAGCGCCGGCGTGCGGCAGAGGCGCTGGGAAGGTATTTTGGTGACGCACGGTGCGGAATTCTTTGAAGAGCCAGCTAAGTGCTCTTACGCTCGTCGAGGCTGCGCGGCTTTGTGTGGCATCTCGAGACAGATTCCTGGTCGAGTGTTCTGGCTTCTTCCTCCTCTTTTTTTCCAAAGCATCGAGGTGTTGGTTTAGGCCAGCTCTAGGGGACTCATCCTTGGCCTACGTTCTCCAGCTTCTGGAGAAAGCCCCCTCTCCAACCTCCTCCCGGGCGCACTGGTCTGTGGGACCTCTGAGGCAGTTTCCAGCTTAAATCCTAGATAGTGTGGGGCAGAAAGCGTGGGGCAACTGGCTCATTTACGGAGCGGGGGACCCGGAGCCGGGGAGCAGGACAGGTACTCCAGTTTGGGCATCGTAAGGAACCCTCCAGTGAACAGTTCGGGGCTCCCCGGACATCCCTTCCCCCATCGCAACCAGGACTATGCAGCCTTCTAAAGAACGCTGGGAGGGATGGGGCAAGAGAGGAAATGAGCTCTCAGCTCTGTCTTGGCTAACTGATGTCGCGTGGTGGGTAGGAGAGCGGGGTAGGTGATGCGCATGGGATCTGGAGGGACCCTGCGGATGTGTGTGTAATTTCTTTTTTTAACTTGACGCGGAAGTTAAGGAATTGGCCTCTTCAAGAGAGGGGTGGGGAGGGGGCAATTTGGCAGAAGGGGACGAGTCCCCTTAGCATCCCCTCCCCCTCACTGACTCATGTTCATTCATGAGGGTGAAGTGAGGGAATCCTCGGTGCCAGGTAGGGGCGGCCGCTTTTAGACATTTGTGTCTGAGAATGCTCATTGAAATGTTGCTAAACGTTCAAATGAATATTTTGGCTAAAAAGGAGAAAAAACTTTTTCTTTTTAAAACATATAGAAGGAATGCCTGGCTAACTGCGCGTTAAGATACCACGAAGCGAGATTTATTCTTGCTGCTGAGTCAGGAAGCCAATAGGTGGCGCTCTAGACCCAGACAAATTGCTTCCACCGCTCAGGTTTTTGTTGAGTTCAGCTGTTTAAAAAAAGAATCTGCACACAGCTTTTCAGTGGGTCGACTGTCAGCCTTTAACTTTTCGCGAGCACGACTGCCAACCGAGTTGGAAATAATGGTAGCAAAGTTAAGGCCAGATGATGGGAACAATAGGCCAGCCTCACCTCTTGTTTTCACTGATGTAGAAGAGGGTTAGAATGTCAAACAGTTGTTAATTAGGAAGAAAGAAATTGCTAGAGCCCTTAGATCCCCAGGGCAGTGCCAAAATTTTAATCTTGGCTTCTTGAAAAAGGAGCTCTGGGCAATTTGGCACGCCTGCATCAGACATTTAAAATGTAATTTACACTCAAGCTGAGGAAAGTTGCCCTAATACATTGTGCCAATAATTTGGAAAGACATGGTTGGAGATTGTCAGTTTCTTTTGTCAAAGAGGGCTCCATCTTTGGCTCATTTTTGGATTCCCAAGCAGGACAGTCCCCCAGTGCTCTACATTTTTCATGTGGCCTAGCCCGTTGCCTTACAATAAGTTATGTACTTCCAAGTCAATTCTCTTTTTATGTTTTGCCAGCTTCCCAATTGGCAGCTTCCCAATTCAGTTCATTGCTCGTAGCTTTTGTCTCTGGATTGGACTTTAGACTATTTTAGGAGATTCCATTCTGCAGACATGGGTTAAGCACCTACTGTGTGCTGGGAAACCACAAAGGTGAATAAGACTCTTTGTCTTTAAGGAATTAATAATCTAGTTGCAGGAAAAATCAGAATAGAACATATTCTCCTCTGGAGCACATATACCTGTAATCTTCCAGGATAAATAAACAGTTAACTGCAAATATTAATTATTATTGAGAATTTTTATTTGAAAACATCTTGGAAAAACAGACAAGAGTGTTTTGACTCTTCTGTTGTGCTGTTTCTTTTTATTATGTGTTTTAAAGTTGTTTTCTCCCATCTTGGGTAAAGGATTTATCAGATGTGAAAACAACACAGTTAGCAGGAGGGTCAGGTTTCAGCTGGGTCTTACATATTTCTGTATAATCCATTTCAGACCTTAAAGAGCTGCATATTTGTAGGCAGAACAAAATGAAGAAAAAAGAGAGAAAAAAGGTTTATTATACTTTTCCAAATTGCCCTGAGACCACTAAAGTACAGCTACCTAAAGAGTTCAGCAGCTAGGAAAAAGCAGCCAAATAAAATCCCCAGCTGGAAGAGACATTTAGTTGAGTCAGGGATTAAATGACCTCTGAATTAGCCATCACCCATGCAGGATGAAGTCATGTGGGGGCTGGTAAAGCCTTCACCCGGGATGCTAAGTAGGACCAGTCTCCAGGAAAACAGGACCCTCTTTAAACTTGAACTCCCTCCTAGTGCCGTGATTAAACTTCTGTAGATGATCTTGTCTTCCACTGCTCCACAATACGTCCATTGTGTGCTGGGCTAGGCCCTGTCGTTATTAAGGCAGATATGGTCGGGTTCTGGACTGGGTCCAGGCTCCAGTTCCAACCTGGTTCCGGGCCTGCCCAGACCCGGTTCTGATGCGATCACTGCTTCTTCCGCAGATCCCTTCATGCGGCTGTGAGCTCAGAGGCCGAGCATGCGGACCAGGCTTCCCCCAGCGCTCGCCGCCCTGGGCGCGGCCCTGCTCCTGTCTTCCATTGAGGCAGAAGGTAAAAGCCTTTTCCTTCCCCCTCCCGGAGTGACCATGCAGGATTTGAGAAAGGAAAAAACCACATCTTTCTTGCGTCTATTGCTTGCTCTGTTTTCCCTGCGCTTTGTGCTTTCTCTGGTGGTTTCTCTCCTCCAGAGAAACACTCCCTTCCCCTGAGGTCGGTCCGTTTCCCAGCTCTCAGGTCCAGCTCTTTCGTGTTCTGCTTAATCCATTCCGTACAGTGCTGTGTGGTCTCCTTCAGTTTGTCTCTGCGGTGTGCTGTCCACACTGCCCCTACGCTGCCGCCTTCCGAGAGGACCGGCCGCCCGGGAGGGTGCGACGGCTGTGGCCAGCTCTACCTTCGGGACACCTCAGGTGGTACCCAGGAGCCCTGCAGCGCGGGCGCGCTTGCTCGCTTGCTTCGCTGTAACCGCCTGTCTCCGGGTCTGCGACCTCGGTGACAGCACGAAATAAAAGACTCCAACAGTGCTGGCTCTGCGCGTTTGTGTATTTTGTGGGGAACTCCGTCGGCTAGGCGGGTGGTGCAGGCAAATAAATGAGCCAGCAGATAAACCTCCTTTAGGGGCGGGGAACCTGCCGCCTTGGGGCCACATGTGGCCTTCTGGATCCTTGACGGGGTCCTTCTGACTGAATCCAAATTTTACAGAACAAATCCTTTTATTAAAAGGGGTGCAGCAGAGAAAGATGAAGCTTTTCTTGCCTCCTTTGCTCCTTAAAAAAGAACAATCTTGAAATCAGAAGGTCTCAGGTTCCCCTCCCCCACGCCCCGGGGAGATCCGAGACCCGGGGGTGTTCGCGTGTCCCAGGGTTGCTGCTGTAGCTGCCTGGTTCGCGGTGCTTCAGGCGCGTGGCCCACAGCAGCCCAGCGCAGACAGGTTGGGTCTGGGCCAAGGTTTTCAGCCCGGGAAGCCAGAGCACGCCAGAGGAGCTGGGCATCACCTCCAGCGTCCTTCCCTGGCTCCCTCCTGCCTCCCTCCCTCCAGGACAGCTCCGCACGTCTGACCTTCCCGCGGAGGCGGTCAGGGGCTCAGAGATGATCTCTAAAACGACTCCGTGTGGCTCCGCCGTCTTGAAAATGAAGAGCTCTTGTTAGTTTTCCAACCTAGTTTTTGTTGTGTGCACTTGATACCTTAATTTCTCAATATTCACTAAAAAATCCATTTCTATGTATTAATTCCATGAGTGCCTCTGTGTTTCCTCAATTATCATTGAAGACCTGACAAACTAGTTTTGTTATTCTGCAAGATAAATGAGGTAATGTCATAAAAGACATCTTACAATTTTTTTTTTTTTTTTTAGTAAAGAAATACCTCCAATGAAGTTCAGGGAGAAAAGAAATACTTGTGCATGTGACAGTTGTGGAAGTTCCAGGGTGGGTTGTCCTTTTTTTAGAGGTGGGAAAAGTAGGACTATTTCATGACAACACTGAGATTTACAAAGTTTCTACAGTGTTTGATTTTCTACTTCAAAACTGCACAAAAACTTAAGAAAAGCAGTGTTTCCAAAATGTATCGCATGCTTAGAAAAGTGACAGACAATTGCTGGCTCTTCTTACTTGATTAATATTTTATGAATGTCGAGGCTCTTCAGAGTGGCCTCTGTGAAGTAATATTCACATGAGGTTGGCTTTAATGTTCGTTTCTATGTCGTTGTTAGGAAGGAATTTTATTTGAGGAACACTTGGAAGCTCCACTAAAGATATTTTTAGATAATTCACTGAAGTGGCCCATTTATGGCTCATTAAGAAAATAGTTATTTGAAAATCAGAATGTTTGAGAATTCTGGGGAAAAGAATTAGGTTGGAAATGATGTAAATGGAAAAAAATCAATTCTGAATTAGATAATGGCTGATTAGCAAAGTGCAGTTAAAAAGAACATTTTGCTATCTACATTTCTGATTATTATCATATTTCTTATGTTTTACCTTTTTAATTTGTGTTGATTTCCATATGGTACTTTTGCTTTCTTAAGCTGTGTGTTTTTTGGTCTCCCATCCCCTTATGTCAGTATTTAATAATTATATTTTAATAGTATTCATTTTTTTGGTCTTATACTCTAGTTTGGTAATGTCAAGTAAAAATATAATTTGAGCCACCAATGCAAGCCATATATGTAACTTAAAATTTTTCTGGTAGCCACATTAAAAGAGGGAAAAGAAACAGGGGAAATTAATTTTAATACTATATTTTATTATCATATCAAAATGTAATTAATACAAGAATTGGTGGTGAGGTATTTTACATTTTCTGTACTGAGTGTTTGACATTGGGTGCTTTTTATACTTGCAGCGCATTTTATTTTAGACTGGCCACATTTCAAGTGCTTGATAGCCACATGGCTGGCTGCTCCTGTGTTGGACAGCACAGCCCTGGTGTTAACTACCAACTAAGTGGCCTCAGGAGCCTTTGAAGGGCTAACAAAATTTGTGGCCAAAGCCTTTCTGGGGACAATGGGGTGGAAACAGAATTTCTTTGAAATATTTCTGTTGGGAGCAATTCAAAATTTCAGCTTGCAACCCTGTTTGGTACTATGCCATTTTGATCTTAGTCCTAAAGTAGCCATAGTTACTCTTTTTTTCCCTTTTGTGACTCATACTTGCACTCTTATATTCATACTATTTTCTCACCATTTTCTATTTACTTAATTTTTTATATGTTGGAAACCCAATACTTTTTTTGTGTGTGTGTTAGTTAAAAGGTTTTGGCATTCACTTTTTGCATTTCTTCTTTTTTATAGTGGTACCACTTTTGTCCTGTTGTTTTTCTTCTGTCTACTTGTCTGAACTATGGTATCTTGTCCTATAGAAGTAAGGGCAAAAATAATTTTTTTTTTTTTTTGCCTTCAGTATTTTTAACTTTTAGCCACAGCATAGGCTTTATCAACCTTATAAGTTGGCCATACATTCTAGGCCAATGCTCTGTATGGCCTTTAATGTATCAATTATTTTTGGTTCATGTAGCATACAGTGTGTTAATTATCCTTTAGAAAATGTAACACTTTGCATTTAAAGGTTAATGGCCAGTATTCCCTGAGAATTTGGACACCTTTCTAATTAATCTAGAATTTGAGATGAACACAAATTTTGTGAAAAACAGAGTTTTAATTTGGTAAAGCTGATTTATAGTTTATACTATATCATGAACAATTAGACATTATCAGTTCATCAGTGAGTTTAAACTGTAAGCTTTGTCTTGTGTCTAGGTTAAGAGGCTAATTAATACATATGTCTATTAATCCTATAACAGATTTCAAACTAGAGGAGAACTTAGAGTGCATCTATTCTAATTCTTTCATTTTCCAAATGAGAAAACGAGTCCCAGAGAGCCTGAATAACTTGGTCAACTAATGCAGTCACTTAGGGGCAAAATACAGACAAGACCCAAGTCTTCCATTTTTTGTTTAGTATTAGTTTGGGCAAACCATGCTTCCTTTTTGAGTGATAACTGGTTGACTCAGTGGGTTCATTGTGAGAACACATTTTGTAATGTGTACAAAATAATCTGTTGCTTTTCTAAAATATTAACTTTTCAACTAGTTATTTTTAGTATCTTGTAAACACAAATGAAAAGGATTTTTATATCATGGGGAAGATCATTAAATTTATACTAACTTTGCAAGGAAAACATAAATTAATGCCTATCAAATATAGTAAACTCATCATACTTTGTGTACTTCTAAAGGTTTCTATCACTAAGGTAGTATCCTTTCCAATGCTGTGATCACAAATATCAGGCTAAAGGTCTTACTAGTTCATCAAGATGATATTTTAGTAGTGTGTGCTCAGCTTTGCTTTATCCATAACACATTATATACACTTACAAAAACTTACTAGACTATTCTCCTCTCAAACATCCATCTTTCCATCCATCCATGCATCCATCCTTCCATTCATTTATCTCTGTCATGGTTGGTAAATTGTTGGACATACCCTCTTTTTGGGTGCCATAATTTAAAAAAGTGTTTTTCTTCTTCTATATCAAGACAGACACTTTAGTTTTAAAATTATTTCAACAGGCGTGTAAAGCTAATACCAAATTCTATCTATGTCTGAATTGGAGATATCTGAATACCACATATTTATTATTGATTAGGCATCATTTGTTCTAATAATGTTTTTTTCACAGAGTAGAAGAAAAGTATATATATTAACAGGCAAACATATGCAAATATTGGTTTCTAAAGTTAATTTTTGATTATAATTTTCACATTCAATCTAGTACAGTAGAAAACTGTATGCTTTACAGTCAGACTGTGGGATCACAGTTTCTGTCTATTAGCTGTGTTAACTTCTCTGAATTTCACTGACTCATCTGTAAAACAGGCACAATGAGGCTCACCATTGGGTTGTTATTAGGGAAAAAAAGAGACAATATATGCAATGACTAGCTCTCTGTTATAGAAGACACTCAGCAAATGTTAGCTATTATTAACATTCCTAAAATGTCCTAAATCCTGCCAATTTATGTAACAAAAATCTCATCAGAATGAGGCTTTCACAGCATAGTGCTTGATAACAAAAAGTATTATTCATAGATACGGACTTAAACTACTAGAGTTATAAATACTTAAAATTTTAGTCACTTCACTATTGGTATTCAGGTTTTATGACTATATGTCAGATTATTATTTATTTATAATTTTAGTTGTATTTCTCTTGGTTTAGCTTCTCATTCTATGCAACTAAGGCTCTTTGTGATTATAATCCATATGTAGTCAGTTCATATTTGAAATATTTCAGCATCAGCTTTGTTTTAGGAAACACTCTGTGATGATGCAATGGTGGCTATGAATTATTTTTATGTAAAAGAAAAAGTTTTCAAATTTATGATAATAAAATTACATTTTTGCATTGATTTATGTTGACATAGGTCACACACTCACACCTGATTTATTATCATTTTTTTCATGAAACAAACAAGCAAATGTATAACAAGAATGACAAGCCTGTAAGGTCGTACATGCGATAAAATTGGCAAGAAGAAAAGCGAGTGGGCTTTTTTTTGTACATGTGCTAGTCAGCCATTCTTTCTTCCCCTTGATTCCCGCATACTAGATCTGAGTTTCTACGAACACCTTAAAATCCTCTGAAATGCTAAAGACTTTTCCCCACAGTCGATTTTTCAGTTTATCTGGAATCCTGGTCATTTGGATATCAACAAGGGGGCTGCTGCCCTTCAGCAGTTTTAACCTAATGTCCGCTGCTTCAGGTCAATTTCCTTCCAAGGTTGGTGGTACTATTTTTCCATGTACTGATTTTTTTTTTAAAGCATGCTCAGGCCAGTTGTGTCTGCCTTTGCATTAAATTTGTCCTGAGCCATTGCTATTGGAGCAATATTTTATAATGATATTCTTAATACCTGTTGTCCTATTAACATCTGTTGCATGCATGTTATACTAAGTGATGAGTACAGCTAAACCTCCAAATATGATTATAAACAGAAGAATGTTGAATAATTAAGCTTTGCATGTAGATTAATAGTCTAATCTCACTGCCTGTGTATGGATAGTAAGAACATAACATTCATTCCAGTACTCGTGTATCCATTAAAAATAAAAAACCATTTCCTGCAGTTGGAGACAGTAGTTCATTAAAGCAAATGTTTGCTTAATTTGTTTTATTTCCATTAAAAGTGCTATTAATATTACATAATCCTTAACCCCAGTTAAATTCTATGACTCATGTCTCCAAGGTACTACTGTATTTTGATTGACCTTTGTAAAAACTTAAAAGGAGATTGTAATCTCTCGAAACATATGCAAAAATTCTGACTCACAAGGAATACTTTCGAACTAAAACATGTTAAGAAGAATATGGCTGAAAGTCATCTTACTTTGTTGACCTGCTTCAAAAGTAATCATTTTTAATGCATTGACCATGCACTGACAGTGAGTCAGTACAATGCTGCATGATGAGGCATGAACATTGTAGAGAGAATATCATTATAAAATATTTTGAAAACGTCTTTGTGTAATCACTATTGTACATGGAGGCTTTTGTTCATTGTGGGAAACTAAAAGCAAGTCAACATTTCATTGACCCATGCATGATGCTGTACAGTTTTGTATGTAAACTATTCCTTTCTGTACTTTTCAGTTATTCCTGTCATTGACTTTTCCAAGTTTTTATGCGCAGTCATGTCTTCAGATTGCTGATCCTTCTTCACTATTTTCTTTAAGTTCTGTAAATAAATGTCCATAAATAAACATTGATGTTGTCTTTTCATAATTAACCATTGTTTTGTAAAGGACCATACTGGCATTTTAATCCAAAATGCCATTTCTAGTATGGAGTATACCTGCTGCAAAGGAAATAACAGTGTTGGTTTACACCTTGGAACATACTCAAGTTGGTGTAAACAGGCAGAATAGTAGTTTTATAAACATGAATATTACTGTTTCTATACTTATAAACTATTAACATCCCTTATTATTTTTGAATATTTGTCTATATATGAATATACATTTAAATGTATATTTCTTTGTGAGACATAACTGTTTCCCATGATTCTTCCTTTTCATTAAAATATATTTTTCATCTCTGATTTATCTTTGATAAATCTTTGAGATTTATCAAACAACAATAACAAGTCAAGAATGCAGAGAATGAGCCAAAGACATCATTGATTCTTTTCCATATCATTGAAAACAAGTATTATATCAATGTTCTAAATTAACTTCTATGATTGTAAGCAGGTTGTGATTTGGCATGCTTGTTCGAAATGCACTCAGCATGTATTGAAATTTCTTTAATTGTTATGTGAATTGTTTGCATATGTGGGTATTATATGTGATTTCACTGTACTTGTATGTACTTGTATCCAAATGTTTCTATTATGCTTGATTTTGCTGGCCATTCTTGAATGACCTAGCAACTCAAGAATCAAAAGTGTTTTGTGCTGTCTTCTATAATATGTATACTCTCTGATGTTTTGTCATACCTTGTCAGCTTTTAATTTTATTCTTATCCAACAAGATATCTTTTATATTTGTTGGAAACAAATTTATGCAAAGACAATTTTAGTAAGCTTTGCTCAACACAATTCTTTATTAATTAAATTGACCATTTTGTGACATTGGAAAATGTAACTAATATCCACTCTCTCTTTTGCAGTTGACCCACCTTCAGACTTGAATTTTAAAATTATAGATGAAAATACTGTTCATATGTCATGGGCAAGACCAGTTGATCCAATTTTGGGTTACAGAATAACGGTGGACCCTACAACAGGTAAGATTCAAGACATCGGGGTTTTGGGACAGAGACATCAAGATGGTAATCCAGTCTCTTCCCCTCCTCCCAGTTCATCATGAAAAAGCTGAGATTTAGAAAGTCTAAGGGATTTGGTCAATGTCACCAGATATTTGGTGGATTCAGGTTTCAAATTTCCAGCCTAGTACCCACTGTTATATTTTAATGGTGTTGAGCTTTATTTACATGGCTTCCTGTGCTAAGCTGTTGTTATTAAAAATAGACACCTTTTCTTAACCCGATCAGAATATTGTTAGTAATCTTTGATCTTATAAAATAGAATTCTTATTTCTTGGCATTATTCTTGAATTTGTTAATCTTCTCAATATTTAAAATATCAAGTTGTTCCACCCTACCCAGTGTTCTATGCATTTCAATGCTCAAGAAATCATCTTTCTGGGGTAATGGTGGGCAACCATGATGAAAGACAAGAATTTATTTTGGCTAGGTGGATTCTGTGGATACTAGGCTGAGTCCTTGGAAAATAACCAAATGTGAAGAACCAATCTCCATGGATTAACTTTTAGTTCTAAAATGGAATGGGAAAATAACCATTTCTACTAACGTGGGCCAAATAGTAGGAAGAAGTGTTAATTGGTTGACAGTAGAGATGGATGATGTCGACATAACTTATCACTAGAACTGTGTTGTCTTATTTTTTGGCCTTTAAAAATGCCAATGATTTTAAATACTGATTTATCAGGGAACTTTAAAAAAATATGATCTGATAACTTAAAAAAGGATCAAGAATTTACTGTTTCCTCTTTTAATTTTGTATCCTCAAATATATTTGCAGTTAACTACTTAATTCATTCCAAAGCAGAAAAACAGTTCAAATAAGATAGATCCTGTTTTCAGATGTTGGGAATTACTGACTCCCAACATTTTCAAAACTGGCACTGGGACCACCCAACCCAGCAGAGCCCCAGTGTCTTGATACCGTCTAGGGGTCTTGGTTGGTTTTGCACGTTCCACATTTAAACCAAGAGCATTTCTCAGGGTTCTGTTGCACCTGTTACCTTTCCTGATTACTTATGTTTTGATTAAAATTTAATATAATTAAAAATATCAAAAGGCACTTAGTCCCTAGAAACCACCATGTTTCCTGTTTGAATTGAGAACTAACAGAATCTAGAAGACAGTATATAATCGTCAATGTATAAGTAAACACTTAGTACACTGTACCTTGAGATATTTGCTACCTAGTTAAGTCAATTCAGAGGTCCATGGTTACCCATTAAGCCATGCACCCATTTAAGTATGAACAATGCATTGCTTTCATACAAATTGTTTCTCACTATGGGTTAATCTTAACGTATGGGGTTTGTTTCCCTTGAGTTTACTTTCATCCCTTATTTCTTTTTCTGCTCTCCTCCAATGCATAATTTAAAACTAAATTCTTTTCTGCTTTATATCTCTTATAAAAATTTTGTTATCTACCATTAGTCTTCAAAAACAATGAAAGATTTTTGGTTTGAAATTCTTGTATACCTTTAAATCTAGAAAAATCTTGTATCCTCCAATAAGTATTAAATATGATTGTAATAAGTAATGGCAATACCAGTCTACTTATTGAATTTCTAAAATTCAAAGTTTTAGTTTTAGAAGACAGTAAATAATGTTTGGATGTCCTAGAAAAAAGTGCATATTAAATTTTTCAGATTTTGAGTGTTTCTGAGAATTACAGTGTATGGTGTTGTGTTATATGTGAAAAATGTTTTGTTGCATTCGTATTTTTTTCTTTCTGTATTTCCAGATGGGCCCACTAAAGAATTTACCCTTGCAGCTAGTACCACTGAAACTTTATTATCTGACCTTATACCTGAAATAGAGTATGTGGTGACAATAACTTCATATAATGAAGTAGAAGAAAGTGTACCAGTTATAGGCCAACTAACAAGTAAGTACACATATAAATTCAAATACTTTTATACCTTTTATTTTGTGGAAGATATTCCTAACTTCTGATTTAATCTATTAATATGCAGATTTAATTTATTTAACTATTCTTTATGTGATCCTGGTTATTAGTGGATATGAATCATTCTTGATTTGTAATCCTGGTCTGTGGAAGCAGCAGAAATATTATGAATGAAACCTACTGAAAATATTAAACTTTGCTGGACAACAATGTTAATGTCTTTCTTAAATATCTTGAAAATGTTACTAAAATATGTATTATTTGCAAGGGAATGCTTATTTGGCAGTATTCTCTGACCAGTTGCACATGGAACATACATTTGAAAGACAGTGTCAAAGGACAATATATTTATTCTTTTTAAGAGAAAATATTTGGGTTCATTTCCCTTTCTAATACTTAGGTTTTGATTCAGTTCAAACAGGTGTTTCAACAAAGCCAGGGGAGAAGAAACCTGGAAAAACAGAGATGCAAAGTGAGTGTTTCTCTTAATATTTTTGCTTGGATTTGTAGAATTCATAAATGTAGGATACAGTAGATTTTCCAGTTATGTAAATAGATTGATCTTATTCCTATATTAATTTCTGTAATCTTTATCTAGAAGTAGCACAGACAATATGAGTAATGTATAAGCAAGCAGTTATAATACCTAAGTTCTGACTTTTTAGCCAAGTTTTCATTCTATTTACTAAACATTCTTTTTAATGAAAGTGTTTTGAATTTGTGCGTGTCCAAATTTTCCTGCAGAATTTTGGCAGTAGATAAAGAACAAAGCTCATCATTGGACTCAACTCATTTCTCAAAGGCAAACTGATATAAATAGATAGTACTTAGAAATATATGAGAAATACAATGCTGGAACACTAGAGAGATGCCCTCAGTTAGTGTTCAAAGCAATTCAATGCCCACAAAAATACTTTTCTAAGTCTATATGTATGTTATGCTTATCTCCAAGATATTTACAATGGCTTTAGTTGATGGCAGTTGTAACCTTTCCAGTCTCTGTAAGACATTTCTGATAAATTGGTGCATTTGTAATCAGGTGAAAGCAATTTTATTTAGTCTAGGACAGATTTTGCAGTTATTGGCCTTTTTTGTCTTATACTACTTTGTCTGACTTATTGGGATGGACCCTTATGGAGTATCTTGGACTTCTGATTTTGCCACTTTGTAAAAGTTGGATTTATGACCCAGAATGACAATAAAAAGATTATAAACACAAAGGCCTCTTTATCTGGAAATTTTCCCTCCAGATCACTGTTTATTATTCTTTCAGATGTCTAATAATCTGAAACGAAGTTTATAGTATGCAGTTACAATGCTAATATTTCCCCCAAACCATCAATATTTATTCTAAATCAAAGCATTATGCCAAATATTGACTTTTTTTAATAGACTTAAATTGATCTATTAAATAATGTGCAAAAATTACTTAAGCATGCAGCTTGTATTTGGCTTGCAAAATTTTCCAGGACCCTTTTCTCCTCTTCCTAGCCAAATACTTCTTTTATTATCTACCAGCTGACTGCAGGGACAAAAACACCTTCAGAAAATTCACTTAGCCTTGCCTTGCAAATACGAATTTTCATGAAAATCAACCTGACTACCACCACAGAGAAGGAAAGAGAATATCATCAGTTACAAAAACTGGTCATTGTATTTTAGTAATTTAAGGATACCATGTAGAATTTTTTTTTTTTTTTTGACACAGAGTCTCACTCTGTTGCCTGGGCTAGAGTGCCGTGGCGTCAGCCTAGCTCACAGCAATGTCAAACTCCTGGGCTCAAGCAATCCTTCTGCCTCAGCCTCCCGAGTAGTTGGGACTACAGGCATGCACCACCATGCCCGGCTAATTTTTTCTATATATTTTTAGTTGTCCAGCTAATTTCTTTCTATTTTTTTTAGTAGAGACGGGATCTCGCTCTTGCTCAGGCTGGTCTTGAACTCCTGAGCTCAAATGATCCACCCGCCTCGGCCTCCCAGAGTGCTAGGATTACAGGCGTGAGCCACCGTGCTGGGCCACGTAGAATTTTTACTTTCGAATTGAAATGATTATTTACCTTCTTTGTTTAGTAAAAGTAGGTTTCAGTTGTCAAATTTAAATACATTGATAATTAGGATGTGATATTTTGGTTATTTTGCATCATTTTATCCTTGTTTTTACTTCTGTTAAACTCCATTAATCCTCTAGACAAACCCTATTGCAAACTGACAATTATATTGAAAAATGCAAGAGAATATTGAAAAATTTGCTCTTTTCTGCAACTCAACTGCACTTGCTTGAGTGGTGTTTATTTTTTGATAAATACCAAGGAATGAAAACACTTTTCTTGCATTTCTTTTGCATATCTCACAGATGTTTTATATAATTTTTACTTGGAAAGAAGAGTGAGGATATAGTTTATAAGAATAGATAGGTTGATAGTACAGATACTTGGATATAGGCCTTTAGAGAACAGATCATATATATTTTTATCTCTTCTTGCAAATGTCTTATACAGCAATTTAAAGACATCTAGTTCCATAAATGCATTTTGATGAAGGCACTGAAAATGTGTGCTAAAAAAATTATATATTCTTTTGTGCACTAGCATGAAGAACAATGGGTGAATATGTTCTAATGAACAGAATGATTTAAGGAACCAACAGTTTTGCAATGTTAGCTTGTATTTCTTGATGATAGATTGATTTAATACAGTATCGTTTAAAAACATATCAAATGCATTTCAGAATGCTCTGTCAGTGCCTGGACTGATTTGGTTTTCCTCGTGGATGGCTCCTGGAGTGTGGGAAGAAATAATTTCAAGTACATTTTAGACTTTATTGCTGCTCTTGTGTCTGCATTCGACATTGGGGAAGAGAAGACAAGGGTTGGAGTTGTTCAGTACAGCTCTGATACCAGGACTGAATTTAACTTAAATCAGTACTACCAAAGGGATGAGCTTCTTGCTGCAATTAAAAAAATCCCATACAAAGGTGGAAACACAATGACAGGTATGTTTTACAGATTTTGTTATTGTTTAAAATAAATGACATGTCAGTTTTGGAAAGAAATTACACATGGCACAATTATCGTATATTAAATAATTTTGAAATTAATCACGTAGTTTTTGACTTTGGCAAAATTGTGTAGTACAAAGTGAATGAACACGTTTCTTTTTCCCTTTAGGTGATGCCATTGATTACTTAGTTAAAAATACTTTCACGGACTCTGCTGGAGCAAGAGTTGGCTTTCCTAAAGTGGCAATTATTATTACGGATGGCAAATCCCAGGATGAAGTGGAAATTCCAGCAAGAGAGCTTCGTAATGTTGGGGTTGAAGTTTTCTCTTTGGGTAGGTTAAGTTTGGTTAATTATTTTCTTTTTATGACTGCTTTATTACACTTAATGCTTAGGAAGATGAAAGATGGATTCCTCAGGGCAGGATGCCGTTAGAAGTGTTTACTGCATTTTATAGTGTAGTTTACGCCAAATTGTCTTTAAGTAAAAATTTTGCTTATCTAGTTCCCTCATATAAATCCATTAGCATATACATTAAGCAAGGTGGTATTCACATTCTTTGCCAGCTCTCTACTTTTCAAAGAATGCTGGGCCAATGATTCTAATAAAGATACTTCTTGTATTATCATTAAGTGTTTTTTATGTGTTTCCTATATTATGTAATACCCGAAGAATTCAGAGGGCTCCAGCTTATTCAGGACTCTGGAAGAAAAAAGTATTATCTTTACAGATGGCAGAGACATACGATGGCATGGTTGGGATGAAAGCCCACTCTGTTTTACTAACCATTTGTTTTCCTCTTTGGCTGGCCACTTTATATGAAATTATAAAATGCTTTTGTCATCTGAACAGTTGCACATTCGTTATGAAGCAAAGCAACTCTGGCTTATGACTTAATAAGGATTTGAAAATGTCTTCAGCTGTGAAAGACTCACAAAGCAAAGAGCTCTAAATCAGCCGGCACATTTCCCATTTCAATACATCCTTGTCCTTTTGTTTTTAAGGGATTAAAGCTGCAGATGCAAAAGAACTCAAACAAATTGCCTCCACACCTTCACTGAGCCATGTTTTCAACGTGGCCAACTTTGATGCAATTGTGGATATTCAGAATGAGATCATTTCCCAGGTGTGCTCAGGTGTTGACGAACAACTCGGTGAACTGGTTAGTGGAGAAGAAAGTGAGTAGACTGCTTGTTGAGTGTTCCCCATGTGTTAGCCTTTTTCATAATTGGATAGCATTTATAGCTTTACAGGTATCCTGGAAGTAGACATATTTATTTAAATATATCCTTCAGTGATTCTCCAACTGTACATTCCATTTGCATTGTTTTTCAGTAACTCAGCTTATCGATACCATTTGTGTGGTTCCCCCCCACCCCTGCTGAGTGGAACATTCAATAAAATATTTATATCATTGTAAAGCTCTTTAAAATTTTTTGGAACAAGTTTTGATTTGCCCTTTTCTTTAAGACCATCTGTGCACGTTGAATAGCCATTCAACGTGCACAGATGTATATCATGGTATTCTGGTACTTAACTTTAATTATCTTACACTCTGATTTAACATTGGTGGGCTGGAAAGACATTTATTTTATTTAGCATTCTACAGCTGAAAATAACAACAACACTGTTTCTAGTAACTGGATAAGGACAAGAGTTTTCTATCATTATACTTTGCATAATAGTTTCAAAGCTTCTAAGTATATTTCAAAGATCAGTCAATTTGATCCTCCCATGTCTGGAAAAATTTCCCATTTCTATTAGTTATTTTCTAAAAAAAAAAAAAGACATTTCAAAAAATGTTTCGTAAGCATCCTATTCAACATTAAAAGTCACAATTCGAAGGCTTTATATCTTTCCGTAATTGTTCTCCTCTCAGCCTGAGAATCGACAATTGATTAAACATAAATTCTAAATAGCTATGTCCCCAATCATAGAAACTCTTTAATCTCCAAGCCTTGAGTAGTTTGTCAATGTCCATTGGCCCTAATTCTGTCTCAGAACTTCTCATTACTTCGTGGGTTCTGAATCTTTTTCTTTGTTTCACAGCCTACTGTCTGACTTTTTTGCTCTGTATTATTATAAAATCCTCCTCCACTTTTCTCTGATTACCTTTCTTTCATTGATCTTTTAAACATTCTAGTTCTTCACTGAGGTGTAGTTGCCTGCATGCAAGCGTAGGCCGAACTGTTGTTCTGCTACTCTTGGACTCTCCCTGTGCAGGGAGCTAGGGCCGCCTCACAGGGGTTCACACACTTCTTCAGGGCCTTCTCTCTCCTGCTGGGTTAGCCTGAGTCGTCTGTTCCCTGCACTGCCTCTGTGTCACTCAAAAGGTTTGGCCAAACTTCCAGTTGGTGCATCTGTGGCTTCCCTCCAACTACTTACTGAAACATCAATTTTATGCACTACATCCGATTGCCTTTTTGAGGAGATGATGTGTAAACTTGTGCCTGTTTTTACACCCACTTCTTGAAGGCAGATTTATAAAAAATTAGAACTATACCTTCTGGGAGTTGGTTCCATTGACAAATCTAGAATTTTGAATATTTGTCTAAAATATCTTAAAACAGTTTATGTTAACTGTTAAATGCGTGACTATGTTCTACATTGAGTAAGAATAAAAATTTTTTTTTTTTTTGAGACAAGGTCCCACTCTGTCACTCAGGCTGGAGTACAGTGGCCTGATCATAGCACACAGTAACTTCCTGGGCACTCCTGGGCTGAAGCGATCCTTCCATCTTAGCCTCCCGAGTAGCTGGGGCAAGAGGCATGCATCACTGTGCCTGGCCAATTTTTAAAATTAAAATTTTTTTTTATAAAGATAGGGTCTTGCTATGTTGCCCAGGCTAGTCTTGATCTCCTGAGCTCAAATAATCCTCCTGCCTCAGCCTCCCAAAGTTCTGGGATTATAGGGATTAGCCACTGTGCCTAGCCTCAAAATTTTTCAGATGATTGATATTTATGTGTCAACATGCATGTTATAAACTATTGTTTCAGCTATGTTTGGTGGCACTGTGAACATAGTTGAACTTTTTTTCTTACCCTGAAAGAAGTGAAGATAAAATTTGTTTAAAATTATAAGAACACATTATTTAAGGACTGCTAAATTCTCTCTCTTTCTTGGCATATTATAAAGTATACTTTAAAGATTATAGTTGTACTCCTATGATATTATTAAAAGAGAAAAACTTTCTAGAGAACTGAGTAAATAATTAATTTAATAAATATTTGAGTGCCTATTTTGGTGCCTGAGAATAAAGACAATGAGTCTTCCAGAATGGAAATTCTGGGTTCAGAGAAGAATTAGGCATGAGGTGTCCTATCATTAATTTCTTCCAAAGACTTTCTTATTCCATAAACTTCTCAGCAATCCTACTAAAAATCAAGATCTGAGTCATTTTTGGTTTGATAGGGACAGGTGGAATTGAGGAGAGAGGAGGGTGTCAGGCAACTTTTGTTGATGTATTCATAGTTAATTTGAATAAAGAGAATTGAAGGTCCAAACCTGTAGACCAGATTACTAAGGTTGCTTCTCACTGTAATTAATCAATCTGCTTGTTACTTTTTAGTTGTCGAACCTCCTTCAAATTTGATTGCCATGGAAGTCTCATCAAAATACATTAAGCTAAACTGGAATCCATCTCCTAGCCCAGTGACTGGCTATAAAGTCGTCCTCACACCAATGACTGCTGGAAGACGACAGCACGCTCTGAGTGTGGGACCACAGACAACCATGCTCAGTGTTCGCGACCTCTCAGCAGACACAGAATACCAGATTAGCGTTTATGCCATGAAGGGGCTGACGTCCAGTGAACCTGTTTCAGTAATGGAGAAGACTCAGCCAATGAAAGTTCAAGTGGGTAAGTTGATGAGTGCATCTCCGTGTTTGAAATATGTGAAAGTCCATTTGATAGAATGCCTTACTGGTTTGGACTTAGTTTTGAACAAAATATTTGCAGTGGCTTTGTTTTAGAGAAGCATTTTAATGATTATTTCATATGTGTTGAATTTTAATGGACTTTCTTTCTCTTCACAGAATGCTCACGTGGTGTGGATATAAAAGCTGATATTGTGTTTTTGGTTGATGGTTCCTATAGCATCGGGATTGCAAACTTTGTTAAAGTTAGAGCCTTTTTGGAAGTTCTTGTAAAAAGTTTTGAGATTTCGCCAAATAGGGTACAGATAAGTCTTGTCCAATATAGCCGCGATCCTCATACTGAGTTCAGTTTGAAAAAATTCAACAAAGTTGAAGATATAATTGAAGCAATAAACACCTTCCCCTACAGAGGAGGATCTACAAACACTGGCAAAGCAATGACTTACGTCAGAGAGAAAATATTTGTGCCTAGCAAGGGTTCAAGAAGCAATGTACCAAAGGTCATGATTCTTATCACTGATGGGAAATCATCAGATGCTTTCAGAGATCCTGCTATAAAACTAAGGAATTCAGATGTTGAAATCTTCGCAGTTGGTGTGAAGGATGCTGTTCGCTCAGAATTAGAAGCTATTGCCTCTCCTCCTGCTGAGACCCACGTGTTCACTGTGGAAGATTTCGATGCTTTTCAGAGGATATCTTTTGAACTCACACAGTCTATCTGCCTTAGAATCGAGCAAGAATTGGCAGCTATAAAGAAAAAAGGTTAGTAGACTTTGTAGAGTAAAAGTTATTTCTTCATGAACAATGCAAATTGTAGATAATATGTTTCTTCAATTCTTTTTATAGATAGGAGAAAGTGTAATAACTTTCCTATGTTATTGAAAACTATTGAACTTAGCTAATTTAGCTCTGATATACGACTTTCTCCTGGGTATGAATCATATTTTTGTTGGTGAAAAAAATAGTTTACCTGTAAGAGTTATGAAATGTTTCTGCTCCTAGATGCTTAAGCAGATCTAGGAATGAGCTTAATAAATCTATTTGTCATATCCAATTAAAAAACCGCTTATTGAGTGTTTACTGTGTGCCGGCTGCTAGGAGCTAGGGCCTTTGAATCAAAGGTGGCTAGAATATAGACCTGGACCTTTGAATTCTTTTTATGCATTCCCTTTCCTCGATCATTTTTGGGCATCATTTCTCACATCTGGAATTCTCTATCCTCTTTTCTTCATTTTTCTAAAATCTAATTTTTCAATGTTCAGTTAAGTTCCATTCTTTTCATCAAGCTTTTCTTAACTGTTCTAGCACTATAACCCTATCACTTTCACTCACTTGGCATTCATATGTACTGCTTTTTTTTTTTTTTTTTGTGATAATAACCTTGCATTCTCTTGTTTTCCAATCTGTTTGTATGTCCCGTGAGGACATGCAGTATGTGTTAAATATTATCTTTTTCTATGATTTAGTTTAATAAATATTTTTTCTTTAGGAAAAATTCCTTAATTATTACTTTGAAATATCTGTCTACTTACCAGCAAAGGTTAATATCCAAGTATCCGGGATGAAGGGGAAAATTTTGGTGGTTCCTTTTAGGTCTGCTACTGTTTAAATATTCTAGTTGGGGGCGGGTCTATTCTGTTACTGCTTTGTCTTAAGAATCTCAAAATTCAAAATCAGTTTTAATTAGTCATTTAAATAGTATAACTTAGTATTATGGAAGACAAGGCAAATAATGAGGACTTCTTTGTTGGGCTGTAAGTGGGAGACCTTCTCTCCATGGTCAAGTGTGGAAGATGTACTGAGAACATTGGTCTCATGATCAGCATTCTCCCAAATGAGTATAAGCCATTTCAGAAACATGTAGTCATTAGGTTCACTTTTGTTTTATAGATTTAAACATTTTAAACTATGTCTTTTTTTTTAATAGCTTACGTGCCTCCAAAGAATCTTAGTTTTTCCGAGGTGACTTCTTACAGTATCAAAGCCAACTGGTCTCCAGCTGGAGAAAATGTTTTTTCATATCACATCACCTACAAGGAAGCTGCTGGAGAAGACGAGGTCACGGTGGTGGAGCCGGCATCGAGCACTAGTGTTGTTCTCAACAACCTTAAGCCAGAGACCCTGTACTTGGTCAACGTGACTGCAGAGTACGAGGACGGCTTCAGCATTCCCTTAGCTGGAGAGGAGACCACTGCAGAAGGTGTGTTGGGGTTTCTGCTCCTGTTTTTCAAAAGCTGGTAATTTATTACAGAACAGAGTTACAGTTTGTAATAACCATCTGCTTTATAGTTCAGAGCTGTGAATGCCTTTGTAAGATTTGGCACCTTTAAAATACAGCTTTTCATAAATCTTTGTAAAAAAGAGAAAAAACTTTTAAGTAAAAAGCCTTAGATTTGTTTTGATAAATTTGATGTGAAGAGACATAGAGAACTGTTAATAATTATGGAATTAACTTTTGAAATACTGCATATCCATCTTCTTCTGAACCACACTTCAGAAATGTTATGTCTTAAATATTTCTGAAACTGCCTTACTGCACTTGTGGAGCTGATGGCAAATGTATATTACCAAGTTTTTTCCCCTTAAAACTGTGGTAAAATACACATAAGAGAAAATTTACCATTTTAACCATTTTTAAGTGTACATTTCAGTGGCATCAAGTACCTTCACCTTGTGCTACCATCACTCCCATCCAGCTCCAGAACTTGCCAAACTGAAACTGTACCATTGAACAGTAACTCCCCATTCCTCATTCCCTCTGCTCCCGGAAGTCACTGTTCCACTTTCTGTCTCTATGAATTTGGTTACTCTAAGTACCTCATACGAATGGAATCATAAGTGTCTGTCCTTTTTGACCAGCTTATTTCACTTAGTATAATGTCCTTAAGGTTTATTCACGTAGCACATGTCAGAATTTTCCTTCTTCTTAAGGTTGAATGCTATTCCACTGTGTGTATGTTACGTTTTGTTTACTCATCCATCGATGAACATTTGCATTGTCTCCACCCTTTAGCTATTGTGAATAATGCTTCTATGAACGTGGGTGTACAAATTTTACCAAATGTTTTAAGCAGTATTTGTTTATATGTGTCTTCTTTACTGGACAACATCAAATATTTTCAAAGATAATTCACTGCATTGACATTTAAAGGGCACCAATTTAACCTGGTTCACAGAAGACTAAGACAAGACAATTACTCTTTGATGTAAGCATAGTGAATATTACAAGACATGTCAATTGTTCTTCCCCATCTTGACTGAGGATAGAAGGAAAAAAGGCTCAAAGAGCGAAAAATTTATGACTGTTACAAAGAATTACTTGCTAATAAGGATAGCTCACATTACCATGCCTTACTGATAAGAACTAGAGAATCTTTTTTTCTCTGAAACGTTTTTCAAATAAGATTGATATTTTTCTTTTGTGCATGGTTTAGGTATATTTCTGCCAGAAGGCCAGCAAATAAATGAAATGACCTAAGGCGTCCTTTCATCTTATGATTTTTTGTGATCCTGTAAGCTAGAAGTTCACAATTAGATGTTTCTGATTTTCTGACCATCTCCTGTAATGCCCACACTGCTGCTTGATGAGCCCGACCCTTTTTCTTCAGTCCTTTGGGATGGGGATAGGAATGAAGTCTGTCTCAAGAGAAAACTTGTCTGAAGGGTTTTTGAGTAGTGGCTGCTACATTCATATACACTCTAGTTTTTGGCCATTGGGCTTCTACAGTAGAATTTGGTAAATATCTTTTCAGTTCTGTCATCTGTGGTGGAATCTGGGATAGAAACTTTCTTTAGTCAATAAGGAAGTTTCTGATTCAATACTTTCATTAAGCTAACAATTATTGAGCTCCTGCTGTGCATAAGATGCTATGCTAAATGTTTGCCAGGAATTGTCTCATCGAACAACTTCAGTACTCCTATAAACAGTCATGTTTTACTGCTAGGTAATCTCAGGCTCAAAAGTACATATCTATTAAGCTTCAGAGACAGTATTGAAACCCATCAATCTATCTGCCTCATTTGTTCTGACTAGTTTAGTCTTTTTCTTTGCCATACAAAATGAATCATGGGCGTAAGTTGGCCAGCTACCTTTTTTTTTTTTTTTTTTTTTCTTGTCTGGAGAGATGCATTTCCTTTCTTTCTCCCTGGGGTGATCTATTTATGTGTTGAACATGTAAGTAAACTTCTCATTGTTTGTGGGGTACATGCAGCATGTTGCACTAGAGTGTCAACCCAGGGAACTGAGAAGACAATGACCTTCGGTTCACCTTTCCTGAATGTTCTCTATCTGGACAGTTTGCCCCTTTGAACAAATAGGTCATTCAAACATGTTTAATAAACACAAAGCCAAATAATGTTCTCATTTGGGCTTAATGAAAATTTTATTTAAAACTGTGAGCCTATGGATGTTACCCGCACTGCAATTCAACTTCAAGATTTGGATCTAACTAGCACTCACTGGGAGCATATCATGTGCTTTCTTCATCCCGTGTATGATCCAATTATTCTCTAAGTGAAATGACTGTACAAATAAAAAATTAGTGTGGGATGGACTGGATAAATGACCTGGTGGGTAAATATGGTAGACCTGGGTGTTAGACATTATTTTCCTACTTTTCTGAGGAAATATAGTGAGAGTGGAAGTCTTAGTTACTTATATTCAAAGAAATGAATTATTTTTATTCTCTAATTTTATAGCCATGTAAATGTACCGTTTAATAGAATATCCATGATTTTAAAAGTTTGCTATTATATACATTTTTAATTAAATATTAATAGTACTTAGCATCTTTTTGGTTATTGTAGAATATGTATTTACTGTTTCAGAATCCAGTTAATCTCTGGCTAAATGAATGCAATGACTTGCATGTTTGTCCAAAAACTGTTCCTGGATTTGTTTAGACGAATGCTATAATTTAGTGATTAAAAGTTAGTTTTTGTATTTTTTATATAAAATCAGTAAACTTGTGTTTGAACATATATATATATTTTTATTTCAGTAAAAGGAGCACCTCGAAACCTAAAGGTGACAGATGAAACTACAGATAGTTTTAAAATTACCTGGACTCAGGCTCCAGGCAGAGTGTTAAGGTATCGAATTATATACAGACCAGTCGCTGGTGGAGAAAGCAAAGAAGTTACCACCCCAGCCAATCAGAGGAGGAGAACGCTGGAGAACCTGACTCCAGACACAAAATATGAAGTATCTGTAATTCCCGAATACTTCTCAGGACCTGGGTCTCCGTTGACTGGAAATGCGGCCACTGAAGAAGGTAGAGGAAATATGCTGACCGTAGCACCAAAATCTTAGACTAGAGGGGAAATTTTGGACAACTATCCAGATAATAAAAGTGATGAAACACTTCTCAATTATCTGAGTATTTTAGACCATAGTCCCTTTATACTCGAATTATTTGAATTTTTAACTTACTCATGACATCATTTATTTGTGTCAGTAGAACTTAAATGCTATGATATAGTCTCAATAATCTTTTAAAATAATATTATTAAATATTCTAAAATAAATAGAGAGATGACTGTGGATAAAAATCAAACTGCTGTCCACCATTAAAACAGCTTATATTTTACTTCCTGGGGAGGCTTTTTAAACATTAACCTGTTTTCATTTCAATGAGATGGTTAGGATCCCAGGATACGTGATGATATCTGTTACAAATTATTGATGTTTAATATGTTATTTCAGTGAGAAAATATAAGACATTCATAATTTTCCTTACAGTTCCTATCTTTAAAATTTTTTTTATAGCAACAGTAATGCTAAGGACATATTAGCAATAATGAACAGTTAGTTATTAAGCACCTATTTATGTCAAGTTCTGTATAAAGGACTTTACATATATTATCTCATTTAATCTCTGCATAAACTCTATAAAGTTATTGTTATTATCATCTCAGCTTTATAAGGGAATTGAGGCTAAGAAAATTAAATAATAGCTCAGAGTCATGTAGCTGATAAGTGGTGAATCTGAGTTTGTGGACTTTACTGACCTTCTGTAGACACTTACTAGGAATATCCATTATGACTTGGGCTGCTTCACTCCCATCACCTTCCTGTGAATCACTCTCCCTCCTGCCTCTAGTTCATTCTCCCACCCTCTCTCCCCCTCCTCCCTCTGCTTCATTCCCCTTCCTCCTTCTGCTTCACTCTCCCTCCTCCCGCTGCTTCACTCTCCCTCCTCCCTCTGCTTCGCTCCCCTCCCTCCCTCTACCTTACTCTCCCTCCCTCTCTCTGCAACCTAGCTCATTAGCTTTTCCTTTTGGAGACCCTTTCTCTTTCCACCTGCTTTCTTCCTCCTCTCTTCCATTTGGGAAGTCACTACTTTACTTTTTCTCTCTCTTGCTGGAGATCTTTGTGCTGGGCACTGTAAAATGATCCAGTAACCCTTTATCTTTCTGTTTTCTGGAGTAAAACTGGCTGGTTGTCGTGTGCTCAGTGGAGAGTGTCATACGGTTGGGTGCCTTGAGACCGTTCAGAGCTGACATGGGCAATCTACAAAGAAAGCTATGAAATACCAGACATCATAATTGCAAAGGGATGGGTAGCCCCTGGGAGTTATACCCAAGGCTAGGTCTCAGGCTGTTTCTTCTCTTAGTTTTTTTTTCATAGAGACAGCATCATTTTTTATCATTTATCATTTTTTTATCATATCAGCATTATTTCCTGGCCATTATCTGTAGGCGTTCCTAGCATTACACTGATTAACTGTATTTACTGAAGATTTCTTAGAGGAGTTAAAATCTACATTGTACCATTAATCACCAGGTACACATTTTATAGTACTTTGTTCTACTTTTAGGGAAAATTTAGGGAAACATCTACAGGAAAGATCCTAACATGAAAGATTTTATGTATAAGATTTTCATAGAAAAGGAATTGCATATCTTTTGTTTCTGCTAACATGTAGAGTCCAATTTAGAAATGCTTAAACTTTGTTGACTAGTCAACAGTTAAAAATGCCATAGTGTCACACAGGATATAATGCATATGTAAAGTAACAAATTGTTTTTCAAGTCAGTTTATTAAATAATGGGTTTTGATGTTGTTGTTGTTTTTTAATGAAGTTAGAGGGAATCCAAGGAACTTAAGAGTTTCTGATCCTACAACATCAACTATGAAATTGTCTTGGAGTGGAGCACCAGGAAAAGTGAAGCAGTATCTTGTCACATACACCCCAGTGGCAGGAGGCGAAACTCAAGAGGTCACTGTGGGGGGAGATACAACCACTACCGTGCTGAGGGAATTAAAGGAAGGGACAAGATATGCCTTGTCTGTGACGGCCTTGTATTCATCTGGGGCTGGAGACGCCCTTTCTGGAGAAGGAACAACGCTGGAAGGTAATTACTGTCACATTTTATGAAAATCCTGTGACTGCATTTAGGAAATTTAAAATATTTTTAGAGAATGAAACCTAGAAATGTGGTAATTCTCTCTCTCTCTCTCTCTCTCTCTCTCTCTTTTTTTTTTAAAGAGCTCTTATTTTATTTGTTTATTTCTTATTTTATGTAGAGATGAGGTCTCACTATGCTGCTCAGGCTGGTCTCGAACTCCTGGGCTCAAGCTAACCTCCCACCTTGGCCTCCCAAAGTGTTGGTATTACAGACACGAGCCACCATGCTGGCCTGTAACTCTTAATCTTAAAAGAAACTTGTATCGAAAAACAAATAACGATAAAACTTGTCTGTTATTCAGAGATGTAGAATGTAAGCAACTGAAATAATTAACTTGATTAGGAAGAAGTGTCTCCAGGGAGCTGAATGCATAATAAGGCCTTGGAAATGTGTTTGTATTGCCATGGGTGGGTTAAATGGAGAATAGGAGTGTGGCAGTCAGAGTGGGAAGGGGCTGTAGAAAACATCTGTGGATTAGGAAGGTTTGGGATTGTCCAGGGTTACACAGCTGGCTTTGTCACCCAGGTCCATCTGGAGCCATTTTCTAACTTTCATTGACGTCCTCCTTCCATTCACTGTGCATAAAAGCATTCATAATAGCTTGAGGAATGCGGGAATACAAGTTTCTGTTTGTTTTCTAAGTGACCTCTAAAATTCAGTTCTGTGTTAGAAGTTCAAAGTTAATGCAATATAGGACATAGTGAGAAACATCAAGACTGGAGCTATTTCCTTGGTTCTCTAGAGTTAATTGTCAGAGGGCTTCACATTTCTTAGGATCTTTTGAGATATAATTGCAGCCTAGGTTTGGCTCACCACAAATACTAGGTAGTGTAAGAGAGAGAAGTGCAAATTCAATTTAACCACAATGAGCATGGATTACAATGCTAAAGAAACAGTATCAGTGTATGATTACAGTGATGTTGACTCATTTCTATCGTTGGGGGCCTAAATGGGCTATCAGGCAATAAAGTTCCTTCTCTTTATCGTCATATTTTATGTGACTTATTTTAAAAGATTATAGGCAGAAAATGAAGTATCTTTTGTGATGTGAAATCACAGCGATATTAGGCAAAATACCCATCAGATTTGATGACTCCAGGAACTTGGAGAATTATAGATACTATAATTGGCAGGGACAAGGCCTACAATGGGCAGTTCTGATTGGAAACTTCAAGACTTAGTCAAGAACTAAAAACAAATAAAAAAATATATATTCTCTTAAAAATAATAGTAATCAAGACATTAATCCCTATAGTCCATGAAATGTTTTTAGAAAAATATTTAAATGAGAGATTAAATACCAGTGTGTAAAGTACTGAGAACCAGAAGAGTCCTGGTCGCGCTATTTAGCTGTGTGACCTTGGAATACTCCCTTAACCCTTCTGAATCTCGGATTATCCATCAATAAAGAGGGGATGATTATCCTCCCTCCTTCCTCCCACTGTTATTGTGGAGATCAAATGGGAGAATATAATTGAAACTCTTTGGAAACTGTAAAATACTCTATGTATATAAAATTCATCAAGAGGAAATAACTTACTAACTTTAGATCTGCTATCTAAAAATATAATTGTCCCTCTATAAACCACACATACACAAGTCCCAAGGTCAGCTCGAGGAATCCCTGTGTAGGAGACGTTGGCCTCCATATAAGCGGCTTTCACATCTCAGGAGTACTGTATTTTTGATCTGCATTTGGTTGAGAAATATCTGCAAGTAAGTGGATCCTTGCAGTTCCAACCCAGGTTGTTCAAGGGTCAACTGTTTAGCTTTAGTATTTTAGAGATAATTGATTGGTTACATGAAAGGTTTGAAAATAAATAGAAACAGAAATTGCCTTAACTACAGAGACATAATCCAAGCAATAAAAGCATGTGATCTTTATATCTGGAGCAACATCCAGACCTTTGGAGAAGTACGTCCTTTTCTTTTGACCTTTTGAAGTTCTCTTTCTGATATGCTTTCCACAGGCTTTCAGCATAGATTGTTCATAGGATTTTTTTTTCCCAAAGGATAAGCTTTCAATCTTCTACTTTTTACACAATATGTATAGATTATATTTGTGAAAATTTCTCCTTCATAATGAGTGTCTAGGAAATAATTTAATAGTTTTACTTCTGGTTGTACCTTTTAACCTTCTGATATTGGTTTGCATTTTCTTGCTCTTAAAACCATATTCATACTCTGTTGAAAATCTTCTTGATTCTAAAAATTAAGGCATTTTTGCCAAGAATAATATATTAACAACCTTATAATAACAAAATGTACTTTTTAATTTTAAAGCAAACACATTCTATTGGACTGTGATTTTTCTAGGCAAGATGTATAGCTAAATTGTAATTTTATAGTTCTATGTAAGTGGTATAGAAAATCTACCAACTTGTATACATGTGTGAGTGTACACACACATATGCATGTATCCGATCAGAAATTATCACTAAGGTAGATATACAAGTAGTAAAATAAATTTTAAAAACTACTGAGTACCATTTTTTGAGAAGGAGGGAAGCTAGATAATTTTCAGGATTGCTTAAAAAATATAGTTAATGCATAATTAAAGTGTAATAATCAAAAATATTTTTTCCATTTACACTAAAGCTCTTTACTACTGTGAAGGATGACAAAAAAATGCTGCCAGCCTGATTTTATTAACATATTTATCCCATTGCATTATGTGTGATAAACTTGACAAATATGTGAAAGCATAGTTGTGACTAAATTAAAATAATAGAAGATTTTTGCCCCTGGTTATTCCATTTCATTTTATTATATTAACTCAGCCAAATCCACATACCATATACAGGAATAGGATATGATGGTAAACGCAGGGAGTGGAAAGCCCAGAAACAGAGCCAGGCAACTGCTTTTGAGGGCTGCTGTTTTTCTAATCTGTTTTTCTCTTGGGAAAGGAGGTGGTAAGAGCAGAACTTGAAGGAATGTTTCTTCTATCCAGAGGCATGGACTCAGCAGGCAAGACCATTCTGTAGGTTGGACATTTTGTAGATGACCTCAGTACATTATGGCTTTCGATAAAAAAAGAAAGAAAGTTTTTTTTTTTTTTAAATATGTAGTGCAGTCTACAACCATCCCTAACTTGAATCTGTTTCCTAGTACTTCTTTTTGAAATGCAGCCAATTATCAGAAAATTTCCCTGTCGCTGGAAGAGAGATTTATTAGCATTGGCACTGGGGAGGTTCATGGTTGGCTGTAGTACTGTATGCAATAGAATCACAAAGGCAGAGTTTATTACTATTTCAGACCCAAACTTCAGAGGAATCTGAGCACAAACTGTTAGGTTTGATTTACGTTGTTTTTCTCCCCCTGTTGTTGTTAAAGCAGGTAGATTTCATGTAATTACTAAAACACTACTGTCTACATAAATGCATTTCAAGTCTTCATAGAACCTTTAGTTATCACTGTTAGTGATTAGAGACAGGAAAATCTATTTTTATGAACCTTGAAATAAATAATGCCCATTTTAATTCAGAGATTTCCACAAATGAATGAAAATTTCAGTTTGAGAATAATATGGCTCTTTTTAAAAAATTTTTGAATGTTGCTTTTTGTCTACAGAAAACATGACTTTTCAGAATTTCCTTTGTTTCAGTTGCTGTAGCAACCTGCCAATGTCCTAGGCATGAATGGCTTCCTACAGATCAAACCAGCCTAACTCGGTTGACATTTTGTTACAATGAGGTTTTTAGCACATCACAGGAATTCTGCATGATGTTGAGTAACATGGGCTTCTCTAAGATGGACTAAACAAGGCCTCTGTGTTTTCCTGGATTTACTATGTCATAATTTGAAAAATCGTATATTCTGGGTATGACAACTCTGACGTTGCCAGGGAACTTTAGCACAATCACTAAACAGTAATTTCCTATTTCTTTTTCTGTGGATGATTGTTTATCAGAGAAAAATCTAAATCAAATTGGAGAGGTAATAATTATGGAAGAAATCATTTTGTTGAAGCAGACTTTAAAGTTGAATGGTAATTTAATTGTTAAGAGGTTTTCAAGAACTGTTTATAGCTTAAAGTAACTGAGATAACTTATCAATAGTGAACTTTGTCCTTTGGAAAGGCTGCTCTAATTCATTGCTTGTAAATCGAGTGTATTTCCACATGAACGTTACCCAGAAGCAGGTCTTCTGTACTGCTGTGGAAAGTTGGATGACTTTTGAGTTGAGCTCTAACGGAAAAGACAAATTGATTTAGAAGAGAGTTTACATTACATTTTCAATTTAATTTCTATTTTTGAAAGTGGTATGTGAAACTCAATGAAAACTGGCTGGAACAATCTATAAGATGAAATACAGTTTCATTTCATGATGATTAATTTTTCAGTTATCGTCATTGGCTAATTCGTGTTATAATTGTATTTGAATTGGATGATAATTTGCTTTTCAGAAAGCAAATGGAAAAGGTCTAAGGAAACATAGGAAAGTTACTTAAATGAGGCATTAGTTCTTTGGCGTGGTATGTGGAAAAAAGCAGTGTAGAAATCAACTCCTTGTGGATGTTCAGATCATGAAAAATGCACCTGTTTAAATTACTTCCCATAGCAGCAGCACAGAGACGCATGCAAGCAGGCACTAGAAAAATGGCTTTGGAATATTTATGAATATGTTTCATGTGAATATATTTTATAATGAGGACAAAAATGCTGAGCATCAAAATTCTATCAAAACCCAATAGAGTTTTGTACTTTTAAATTTATGACAGCAATGTGCTGTTATTCCTTATGCCTACACTGCTACTATACTCGTTAAGAATAGGGTATATGGAAAGACTATTGAGATGGAATCAAAGCAATAAAAATAAAGGCATACCATCCTTACAGTTGATGACCTGTTTGAAAACATTGCCAGAATTTCAGTTACCCAAGGTGGAAGTGATATAGAGAACACAGGCGTATAGTCCAGAGCAGAAGAAAGCAAGTACTGTGACACTAAATAGTATTGAAAACAGTGAGACTTAGGTAAAAAATCTGAGCAGACCCCAGCACCAGATATGCGTTTGTAAGTCTTGGGACAGTGGATGAGGAAGAACTCAGGGAGGCAGGTAAGGAGCCGCTGCTAGAGCAGAAGTGGATCTGTGTACAGGGACAGGTAGTGAGAAAGTGACAACGATTCCACTAGAGCTGGTTTCTGTTCACTGCCGTGGTTTCTGTGCCTTCTCCTTTTTGAGGAACAGTAATCTTTCCTGCAGAAGGTTACAGACTGGTCTTCTGACGTCTTTACTCCCTTATTCTTCTCTATTTCCTATTCCCTCTTAAGTGCTCTAAAAAGGGACTCTTGACCAAACCCATCTACTCAAATTAAACCAAAACAAGCCAAATAATCTTTTCCTGTAGTGAGTGATGTCTGGAGTCCCTTAGATTGAAGACAACAGCAACAATATATTAAAGCAAGCAAATGCCTGGCTAGGGAACACTTTGGACCTCGTCCACATGAAAACATGATCAATTGTTCAATAAGAAGCATGTATTGAGAGCCGCTTCCTGTCAAGATAGGAAGGAGGGGAGAAACGAGAAGTAATCATTCTACATGTGCTATAGGATGAAAAGATCTCATGAAAAGCTTAAATCAATTTCTCAGTTCTCTGAGGGTCAGCCTTGAGATCACACAGCTACCTAAAAGGATGATTTGCTGTGCCTGGCAATGTAACCATACGATACATAAACCATCAAGCACTCCTGCATAGCACACGTGTCTAATGATTTCGACCAGTTTACGTTCGCCACACCTGTCTTCATTTTGAAGGAGCCCTATTTCTAAGTGAAATCCAATGTGAGGGTTAGGGTTCTTTTCCACACTGACCAAGCACACCTTCCAAATAATGCTTCTCTAGGTCTCAGAGAGGAGAAGTGGAAAGAAGAGAAAAGAAAGATATGGGGAAAAGAATAAGGAATTGTAGAGGAATTAGAATCTCAGGGCAGATTTTAAAGATTTTTAGAAAGCATCAGTACTTAGGCACATCCCCTGATACTCCAATTTAATTGATTTGGGCAGGGTCTAGCCTTTGGCTCTTCAGGCAGTTCTATGTATCTGTTCAGGTCCAATCTCATTACTTTGCTGCTGAAAACGCCAGGGTCCCGGGAGGTGACATAGCCCACTGGTGGCTTGCTCAGCTGGTGGCACACTTAGCCCCAAGACCAGCTTGGCTGCTTGCCAGCCTGCCTCCTGCTAGCTGTACCACAGGGTGCAATCCAGTTGCTTCGGTTTTGGCAGTCTAATGTTTGGCCAAGCCAAGATATCATTTTTTAAAAATTCAAGGGTTTTAAAAAATTCTGATAAAATTTATTTGTCATGGGTACACCATATTCTCAAAATTCTTGGGTGTAATGCAACAGAATACTCAGCCTTCCCTCCTGCTTTTTTTTTTTTTTTGAGAAAAACAATTATCCATGTGTTCAAAAACAATATAGGCTTAATATTTAGGAATATTCTTATTAAACTGACTCCTTGACTTATAGAAAACCCATATGAAGGAGTTTATCTTTTCAATCTTGACTTCTGGATCAAAGTATCTTTCTTCTTTCTTTGGAATCTATATTTCTTTGTCACAAATACAGTATGTTGTAATGGCAGCGTCTTCAAATAATGCCTTTACCTGCCGTAGGCAGAAACTATTATTTTTAAAGAATTTTTTCTGTGATTGAGAACTTATTCAGTGTTCACTCAAATTAGTGTTGTCATGACATTAATAGGAACTCAGGAATATTGTTTAGTTGATTTTTCATTTGCATCTTAAAAAGTGCTTTTGCAGATTATTTTCAGGACATTGATAAACCTGGCAAAGGTCTTTACTGCATTTTGTTTTAGCTTTCCAGATCTTGAGAGTGTTAAAATAGTTGATTAAAATCCATGGGGAGACATGTCTCATGATTTAAGATCTTTTTATTTTAAGCCCAGTAATGTCTTTGTGAATGTATTTTTGCTTCAAACACAATGCTCTTCATATTATTTTTCTCACAGCGAACTCATTAGCCTATGTTTGTGAGATTAATGTCTGTTGTCATGGAAATAAACAATGTCACAAATTTAATGCTGTAGAAAGTAGAATGAAAAATAGGCTGAGAAGCACAACTTTTAGGAAAAGTAGAAGCTGAAATTATTGTTTTTAAATTACTCTGGTGTTAATTTGGAAGATGATTCATTCCCACATTCTAGCTAACCTTATTTGTCTTTTATTTTTTTGGAATGTCATTAATGCAGAATTCAGCTTATTTAAATTCAGTCACTTGCAAATAAGGTCCTTCCACAGCAGCTCTTTCTGACTGAAATGTAGGAAATTTAGAAGAAAAGGAACATATGGAAAAACAGTGTATATCAAGCCAAGGAAAAATGTGCTTACGTTTAAAACTTAGAGACCAGTTGTTGGGATATCGATTATCAAAATAAATAAAAACCAAACAAACAGAAAAAACCCACAACCAAACCAAACAAAAGAAATGAACAAACAGCTTGACATTGTGCTTTTATATTCCTGCAAGTAGAGAAAATATAAAGGTGTATGGCTATTTAAGTAGCAAAGACAGCTAAAGCAGACTTTGAAATAGGAATTAGCCTTAAGTACTGAGGGAAAAAAGTCAATGTGTTCCTGAAAATAAGTATTCTTTGTTGCAGTGAAATATGTAACTAATTTCCTTCCAGAGATGAGATGTGCTTTCAGCAGTTAAAGTTATTTATAATGGAGTTAGAATTTTCCATTTGGGCTTGGGGTCTGGTAGGCTGCCCAGCTCCTGTTTTATTTATTTTTTGCTCTGAAAATCCAGCCACATATGATAGGTTTTTGTCCACCTAGATTTCTTTTTCATTCATTGTTGTTTTTATTTTTTGTGCTGAAATATAATTGTTTAATTAAAAGTAGTTTTAGGATATTAATTTTTTACTCTTTGAGTCAAGTAAAAAATAGCCTTCAAAATTCTTATAAGAGTATTGTATATCATTTACATGAATATACAATTACTGGTAAAATGTATGCTGGGGAAGCAGATAGTTTCATATTTATGTCATACTGTGGCATAAACCCACATAAAAGTAGCCAATATAAAGCGACCTGTATATTTATCTTACATTTAAAATATGGAAAGTGAGAGTTTTATTGGAAGACATCTGTGCCTCCCATTAAGTTGAGGTTTCCATATTTTTCCATTTGGGTTGTATTTTTTTGAATGAAAGAGCCAAAATTTAGTAGCAGACGTTTTCGATCAGCTAGAACAAGTGGTGTGTTTTATTTTGATGACTAATTGCTTTTAAGTTTTCCAGAAGAATTGGTGGTTTTTAGTTTCATTAGGGTTAAGCTACATTGAAAGTTTGCACTTCTACTTTTTTAACTGCATGAGCAAATAGAAGTTTCACCAGATAATGATTGTTGGAATTAAGGATTGCAAATGATATGAGATTGTTGTAGTTATTGTAAATCAGACATCGACACTGAGCATATTTAAATTAGATCAGAGAGGAAAAGATCATGTTAAAGAAATAAAAATCTATGTGAACAATGGACTATGTCATAAGGCAGAATAAAATGTGGTAAAGTTTTGGGATTTGCACATATTTTTTTCCTTTGGAAAAAAATTTAAGGCACTTATGCCTTCAAGTTTACATGTGATTCTTCTCCTGAAGGACCTTACAATCCTCCTGGGCATATGGAGGCAAGGCTTATAGGACTCAAATATAATTCTAAAGTTTTATTCCATCAATTTGTTTCTGTTCTCTGAGAGAACAGAGTAGACAGCTCAAAAAGAAGAAATTTGCTATTATTAGTATTTCTTGAGACAGGGTCTCACTGTCCCCTGTACTGGAGTGCAGTGGCTTCATCATAGCTCACCGAAGCCTCAAACTCCTGGGCTCAAAGGATCCTCCTGCCTCAGTCTTCCAAGTAGCTGGGACCACAGGTGCATACCACCACGCCTGGCTATTTTTTTACTTTTTGTAGAGATGGAGTCTCACTATTTTGCTCAGGCTGGTCTTGAACTCCTGGCCTTAAGAGATCCTCCTGCCTTGGCCTCCCAAAGTGCTAGGATTACAGGCATGAGCCACTGTGCTCGGCCCAAGTGATGGGGAATTTTAGACAAGTTGAGTTTGAGTCCAGCAAGTCAGGATGTCTACCAGGATAAATATTTAAACATCTACTAGATATTTAAAAAAATAATTCCCTTTTAATTTCAATTGTAGAACGTGGTTCGCCTCAAGATTTAGTTATCAAAGACATCACTGACACATCAGTTGGGGCTTATTGGACATCTGCTCCAGGAATGGTTCGAGGTTACAGGGTCTCATGGAAATCTCTTTATGATGATGTTGAGGCTGGAGAAAAAAATCTTCCTGAAGATGCAATTCATACTATGATAGAAAATCTGCAGCCAGAGACCAAATACAAAATTTCAATATTTGCAACTTACAGCAGTGGAGAAGGAGAACCTTTGACTGGAGATGCCACAACTGAATGTAGGTAACATCATGGGTGTGTTTGGGTGTGTGTTGATGCTAATTAATAGCTACCAGCTCAAGTGATGACATACAGTTTAACCACTTGAATTTTTTTCTTTATATGATAAAGGAGGACTGAAGAATTAGAGTCTTTAAAGAATTCGGTTTAAATTCACATTATGTTAGTATCTAAAAAATATATCAAATTTTGAAATATTGAATCCTTTTATTCCTTTCAACTAACCATATATATACATACACACACATGCACACGCGCACATATATATTTATTTATTTTTTCTGGTAGAATGATCAACTCGATAGCATACCAAACTAGTAAAAATATCAGGAACCATGGAGACAAAGAGAATTCAAGCACAGTTACAGCTGCATGACCTTGGTCAAGTTACATAACCTTCTTTGAGCTTCAGTTTCTTAATGTATAGAGGGTAGACAATAAATCTTGTCTCTTAAAGTTGTGAGGATTAAGTGAAATAACAATGTATCAAGCACCAAGCATAGTGCTTAGCCACTTAGAGATGATTGATAAATGATGAATGGCTATTGAAACTGTGATTATCATATAACCAAGACTAACTCTAGATTTTTTTACTTTATTCTTGTTATATTCGATAAGGTTAAATCAAAAGCCCACTCAATTTTCTGGTGGCTCAGATTTAACTCAATCTCAATAATATTCTTTCTTATAAATAATTATGAATGACCTACCATTATCGCCTGGCTGGTGAAGGACGAGTCAGGATTTCTTAATTCATTTTCCTAAAAAGTTATTTGTTTGAGTGATGATGATATGTCAGTGTAGGTTCGGCAGTTGTAACGAATATACCACTTTGGTGGGGGATGTTGACAATGGGGGAGGGTGTGCATCTGGGATGGGGACAGAAAAAGGTACATGGGAAATCTCTGTACCTTCTGCTCCAATTTTACTATGAACATAAAACTACTGTAAAAAATAGTCTATTTAGAAAAACAAATAAAACCAAACCAAACCCAAAATCACTTGTTAAGCATGGGCATTTCTAAGTATTTGTAGGAGAAAACTTTATTCCTTTTGTTTTGGGAGGATTTTAGGAAAAGGGGATTTTTTTTTTTTTTTTGAGACAGAGTCTCACTCTGTTGCCTGGGCTAGAGTGCCCATGGCTTCAGCCTAGCTCACAGCAACCTCAAACTCCTGGGCTCAAGCGATCCTACTGCCTCAGCCTCCAGAGTAGCTGGGACTACAAGCATGTGCCACTATGCCTGGCTAATTTTTTCTCTCTCTATATTTTTTTAGTTGTCCAGATAATTTCTTTCTCTTGCTCAGAGCTGGTCTCTGAACTCCTGACCTTGAGAGGTCCACCTGCCTCAGCCTCCCAGAGTGTTAGGATTACAGGCTTGAGCCACCGCACCAGCCAAGGAAAAGAGGATTTTGAATGGGCATTCTTGCATTTCCTTCTGTTAGAAAGAAGTAGAGGAATTTGGTGATTTTCCTGGCAAAGGAAGAGGGAGGGAGAAGTGCCATAAGCAATTTCAGTTACGTCCTATGTCCTGATTTCAAGTTGTCCTTAAACTAAAATCTTTTGGTCTAAGTTTTCTGAGAAATTCATTATCTTTTTATGAAAGAAGATCAGTTGAATATGTAAGTTTAAATTTGTATCTAAATTAACCAGATTGAAAAACATCAAGCTCCTTATAGGAAATATGTGAAAAAGCAAATTTATCAGATTTTCACATGATTGGTTTCCATTTTAGTAGATGAAATCTTGTGTCTGAAATATATTGGCTGATGTAGTTTAAGAACCTGGTAGAAAATCATTCTCTATTTCTGACAGAACTCATTTGTTGTGAAGAGAAGCCATATTGTAAGCTTAGGCCAGATATGACACATCTAGCTACATTTATTTGTAGGAGTAAAGATACCATTCATGTGGCTGAGAAATTATAAAAGTATATGTATTTATAGGAAATTTTTTTCAAAAATTCTCCTATATTTTGACTTTTTCCAAAAAGTTTGAACTTTCAGATAATTATTTGGGATTGAAAATGTCTGCAAGGATGTATTTTAGCCAAAAGCAAGTATGTTGGCAGAAACTATAAATATAGTTTCTTTTGATAGCTCACTCACTTGGAGAATAGTAATAGATAATTGAGGATTAATCTGAATAAATTTTAAAATTTCCTGAAATTAATGAACTTGGCTGAGAGGTCTCATAGTTTCTTTAAACCATAAAATATAAATTACAACCAATTTACTTTTGGTTAAAATTATATTTTTGCATCTCTCAGAAACATAATTCATAACCATATATTGAATTTACCTATTTTATCATTTTTATATTTGCCCTCTATACATATTATGTCTTTTATAAAAAAATCTGGCTGCTTTCAAGATTTTCTTTTTATCACTGGTTTCAAATAATTTGATTATGATGTGTCTTGGTTTAGTTTTCTTCATGCTTCTTGTGCTTGGGATTTATTGAACTTCTTGGATCTGTGAGTTTATAGTTCGTATAGAATTTGAAAAAATCCAACCCATTATTTCTTCAAATATTTTATTTATTACACTGTCACTCTCTTCAGGTACTCCAATATATTAGTCTGCTGGAAGTTATCACACATCTCACTGATGCTGTGTTCATTTTTTCAATCTTTTTCCCTCCTTATGTTTCATTTCAGATAGTTTCTATTATCATGTAATCAAGTTCACTAATCATTTTTTCTACAATTTCTAATCTTCTATAAATTCCATCCTATGCATTTTTCATCTTAGACATTGTATTTTTTATCTCTAAAAGTTTGGTTTGAGTCTTTTTTTTAATATGTTCTATATCTCTACTTATGCTTAATCTTTATTCTATCATTATTAACATTCAGAATATAGTTTATATTAATAACAACTGTTTTAATGTCCCTTTTATCTAATTCTGTCATATATGTCATTTTTAGTTCTGTTTCTATTGATTGATTTTTCTTCCGTAATTTATTGTCTTCGTCAGCTTGCACTGCCATAACAAAATACCATGAACTGAGTGGCTTAAACAACAGAAATTTCTTTTCTCACAGTTCTGGAGGCTGGCAAGTGCAAGATTAAGGTCTGGCAGGATTTGGTTTCTGCTGAGGGCTCTCCTTCTGGCTTGTTGACAGTCACCTCCTCATTATGTCCTCACATGGCCTTTTCTCATTCTGTGCATGTGGAGAGAAAAGGAGAGCTCTCTGGTGTCTTTTCCTTCTCTTACAAAGACACCAATCTATCAGATTAGGGACTCACCCTTATGACCTCATTAAACCCAAATTACTTCCCCAAAGTCCTCATCTCCAAATAACATTACATTGAAGGTTAAGACTTCAACATTTTAATTTTGGAGGGACACAAACATTCATTCTATAACATAGATTATAATTTTGTCCTTCTTGGATGTCAGACATTGTGAATTTTACTTCGTTGAGTGCTGGATATTTTTATATTCTTATGAATATTTTTAATTTTGTTCTGAAATACAGTTAAGTTACTTGGAAATAGTTTGATTTTTTGGAGCTTGCTTTTAAACTGTTTTGGTTTAGAGCTAATTTTGCCCCATTATCGAGGCAATCACCTCCTAAGTACTCTACATGATATCCCTTGAGTTATGAGGTTTTCTCTCTGGCTAGGGGGAATATTTCTGTAAGCTCCAGGAATTATTCCTTCTGCTCCTTTTATGTGGTTCTTTCCCTGCACTAATTAATACTGGATTGAAGACTCAAGTATTAATTTTCTCTGTGGCACTCTCTCCTTTATAGTACTCTGTTCTGCAAGTTCCAGTTGCCTTGGACTCCCCAGACTCACAATACTGTCTCATCAATTAAGGGAGGCCACCAGGTTTCATCTGGATTCTTCCTTTCTGTACTGGGAACTGGAAACTCCAAGCAATAAGCTGGGGCAATCCCAGAGACTATTCTCACTTGCTCCTTATCTCTTACTGGGATCCTGGTCCCATTCAGACTGAGGTCCAATGTCCAAAAAGTATTGTTTCTTTTTTGTTGTTGTTGTTAGGTTTTTTCCCAGGTTTTTTAGTTGTTTCAAATGGCTATTGCCCATTTGAATATGAAAATTTCTTTTAAAATCAGGAAAGATTCTTTGCTGAT